CCCCCCCCCCCCCCCCCGGGGCAGGAGTTACAATGTCTCCAACGACATTGACGAGGACGATCTCGTGGGAGGTAGGTTCCAAGTTGCATAAGTGTCATCTCATCTCTTTGCTTTCGGCATTCGCATTCTTGAATTTTTGGTATTTACAGAGCTTGACGCTCTCGAAGTTGATATGGGAAATGCGATGGAATCCGATGGAGTTCCTTCCTATCTCCAACCTGATAAAGAACCCGATAATGAGGCCGAGCGTAACTTGCCTGCAGCACCTACTGGACGAGTGAATAACCAGGTGAATGAATCCTTCTGATCTCTTTTTCCTCTGTTTCTTAGTGTTTCACCCTGTCCATGTGTTCTCACACGCGAGATAGAGTCCAAAACTCGAAACTTTCCACACAATCACCGCACACTCCTTGAATTTTACACCATTCGACAAAAACCCGGTTCTTGGTTCTTGATGAACCGTATGTTAAACATACTGGATGCACATGTGTATAGCCATACAGAGAGTTATCAGTTATCAGAAAAGATGATGTTCAGTGTCCACAATGATTTAGAACCTTTATAGAGAATGGCTAATGATGGATGTATCCGACGTTGTGGTGGTGACAGGCCGAGGACGAGTACAGGTTACCTGCGGTACCACGGGCTTCGGTCCGAGGCTAAGGTCAGTGTACACTGAAACTCAATCTCTGGACTAGTGACTCTCAAAGAAACTACCTTCAGCTCTTCTCCGTTACACTGTTTTCTCTCTTTCTTTTATATATATATATATATAATCCGGGTAAAAACTAGGCTGGCTGACCAACAAATGTGATCTTAAACCGGTTTCAAAGAAGAGACCGGTTTAGAGCCAGGATTTGGACCAAAACACAGAGAGGGAGATACGATTTTGCAGAGATATGAAGGGGTTGGGTTTGTAATAAGAAGGTTGGTCCACGGAATTCAATGCAAAAGGTTACATCATCGCCTCTCTAAGCATTCAATGTGTGTGTGTATATATATATATATCATTCACGAGATATGAATGAATAAATGACACCTCTTTCTATTACTATACACTAACCCCACACGCTCACTTATTGTCCTATTCGAGGAAATCTTCTTCTTACAAAAAAAAAAACAGCAGCATTTTCGGTGCAACCATTACCACTAGAGAACAAACATTCCATTTGAATCCTCCGTAAATTCTGGTAGACCCTATCTTACTTTATAATAAAAATCCACGTCATTCGTCCGATATTTCGGGTATTTACTTGCATTAAATATTGTATGAAAATATGGGATTCCTAAACTTTAGAATTTTTATATTATATAGAGGTGTAAAACTCTAGAGTTCTGTTGGTGATAATTATTAGTTTTATTCGAATATTTAATTTGATCAAATTTAGTTGAATTTTGAATATGAAAATAATAAAAAAACTGAAGGAAAATTCTTAAAAAGAACCAAATAATTTCTTTAATAAAAAAATCTAATTCCAATTAAATTCAAACTAGCAAAAAAAAAATAATGGATCCAAACCCCTTATAATTTTGCTTGAGTGTTCTTTAGCTCATTAATGTGTGGTTTCGGAGGTGGCAAAAACGGATTCATCAAATTTAATCTGACAATTAACTATATTTATATTTATGATTTCTCTAACCCATCAATTAATTAATTTACAGGATTCAAAATAAATTAAGAAGTAAACTGGTGAGACTAACAGCTCCGTCTCTCTTCTTCTTCGATCTCGTTCTGACCACGAGATGAATACACCGGCGAAGAAGGCAATGACGAAACAGCCGTCGAGTAACGAGTCGATTCCGACGCCGGCGTCGACGTGGTTCCTCCGCCGGAGATGCTTACGAGGAGATCGGCGAAAGCGCTCACGATCACGCCGTGGCTCCTCTTCTCGTTCATCTTCAAGTACCATGCGAGCAACGCCTCCAAGCTCTCCCAATCCTTCGCCAATTCCTCCTGACTCCTCACCATCTCCTCCATCGATCGTCGGAAATCTCCGTACGGATCCTCCGACTCCATCTCCACCGCCACGCTGCTGCCCTCTAATGGCGGATAATCCCTATCCTCCTCCGATTGGCTATTATCGTTGTCCTGTTTCCCTTTCAGGATCGAGCTCGTGACACCAGGATCGAAGAACAACCTCTCCGATCTGACCACGCCGCGGACAACCATCTCGACCGACTCGGCGTCCAGATCCTGATCCGACTCGGTTGAGTAACTAGCCGACTCGGACGAGTTCGTAAACCAAGAATCGGGCGTCTCTGCCTCCAACACGTCGCCGTTTTGGTCGAAGAATACCGAGTTCACCGTCTTGATGACGTCGTCACCGACTCGGAACGACGTCGTCTTCGCGTTGTAGCACAGAGGAACAGCAAGTAATCCGCCTCCACCTCTAGTTTTGAACAGTGAAGAGATCGTCATCTTCCTCCCCATTGAAACCGTTTTTTCTTTCCTCTGCAGATTTTTTTTTTCTTGATGGTGGGAGGGTTTGGGGCATTAATGGAGGGAGAAGGAGTTGGAGGGAATAATATAAAGGGAATGAGGGGACGGCGGTGGTCTATTTAATTTCTATGCATTTTCTTTTCGTTTTTATTAAATCATATTTAATTTCCAAACATATATATTTTTTTAATTACCAAGATGAATTACTACAACATAAATATTTTTCAGGCCACGTTTATCCAATAGAAAAAAAAATACAAAACCATTATTCATTTACAATGTAACTTTCCACATGTTGTTTGTTATATATATATATTCTTGGAGAATAATTATTTTATGAAACGGAAAATTACTAAACCGATGACATGGTGCTATATCATAATATCTTACGCGATAATTGATCTTGAACCTTGGGTTATTTATAATTATTAAAAATTAAATTTTAGAGATGAAATAGATAGGGGAAGTCAATAGAGACATGAGAGGTAAGGAGAGTGCAAAACTCATGTGAACGCAATTGAATAGGAAAAACGGTTGGATCACGCATTTACATTAAAATTGTTGGTTTTGTTATATATATATATATTTATCTGTAAGATTATTTTTTTTTAGTTTTGGAAAATAAATGACCTTATATTTCTTTGGAAAACGGGGATTCGGACAACATATATATATATATCAAAATTTCGAATAAGGATTCAAATATATTAGCATATCGGGATATATATCCTATTGTTGCCCACTCCTAGTAGAAGGCAATGAGATTCATATTGGTTAAAAAAATGTTTCTTTTGTTAATTTGTCTATAAAAAATATTATGTGTGTATGTATATATATATATATATATATCCAAATTTAAATAGTTTAACCGGTGAGATGGGAGTGCAAAACGTTTGTCTCATCTCGAATTCAAACCTCAAATTTGGAAAGGGAACGTATAATCACATCATATAGCTGACTCTCGTTCCTGATATTAATTTGATCTTGGTCTAAGGTATTCGATTATCAAAAATATATATGTATGTATCTTTATATGTATGTGTGTGTTTGGCTCTAAGGCATTTGGTCATATTTTCTTAAGTATTGATCAATTCATCTCAATATTGAAATTTTTTTTAAAAAATAAGATACGAATATTGTGTCCGTGCGACAGAGTGATACGTATGTCGGCCTTGGAGAACAAATCATAAGCATATGAAAATTATAATACTACATATTTTTATGATTTTTTTTTTAAGCTGTTGGATAAATCAATAATCACTATGAGGCATTTAAAAAAAATACTCACAAAATTAAATAAGTGAAGAAGTAGAAGAAGATGGCTAATTAAAATACGAGATATTAATAAGGCATGCAAAGAGCATTACTGCTAATCATAATCGACAAAGCCAGCGATGCATGAGAGAACGAACCCTCGTCCACTCTCATGATTAGCAACTTGTCTATATCTATAATTAATTACTTTAATTAATTATATAAATATACGTACGCTATGTGGTAATACTGATCCATTTTTTAATTAATTAACTCAAACTAATCCCGACAATGGGATAACGAAACTGCCGTTGGAAATGAATAATTTGGTTTAGATGTTTCAATTCGGGCATTTTCATATATATCCTAAAATTAAATTAATTGAATATGCTATGAATATAGAATTTTTTTTAATTATGTCACTAATTGAAAACATGATACACACCAAATTCGAATTTGTAAATCAGAAATTCGGTATAAAAAATATTATTTTATTTTAAAAAATAAATCAATGGAAATATAATCAAAACCTGAAATAAATAGGCATAAATATAGGGACGTACACATCCACGTACTCTGCGTGAGCTTTAGAGCAAATACAAAAGTTGTCATTATATATATGTATATAAAAGAAACCTAGCTTTTCTTGAATGGTTGACTAATTAAATTAAACTAAACCTAATTAATTAGCATTGCAAATATAATTAAGAATTAGATTAGGCAAAAGGGGAGACAGACATTCACCGGAAAGGAAAGGAAGTGGAAGAAAAGAAAAGGTTTGAACATCGGATCTCGTTTTCATGCAACTTCCTTTGTTCCTTCTTTGTGTCTTCGGTCCTTTCCCCATGCATTCATAAGATAACGTATAAAATAATATATCAATCGCATTAACAATTATTTTAATTGAGCGATTTTGTTTTGTTTCTTGTTCCAATCTTCTTAATGATAGGCTCTAACAAAAGCCATTATATATATATATATATATATACGATAGATGATAAATTATGTAAATTTTATCATTTTACGAATTTTCACATATTGAACCAGACGAAATAATCGAGAACATGTATCATTAATAGATATCATATTATATCAAGCCATAATTATACAAATGAAATTGATATGGTAGGGTTCCAATAAGAACTAACAAAAAACATCAAAATAAATGAGCAACATGTAAGGAAGAATAACAAAAATAGCAGATCCTGCCAAAATGGAACGAAGAAAAAAAAAAACCACGTGGTGTGTGGGTAATATAGCAAAAATACCCCCACTTTGCTACAAATATTTCATGACATACCCTTCAAAACCCTAAAATTTTGAAAAAAGGAACAAAAGACATAATTAACCTTTAAAAAAAGTAACGTGATACACTTCTCCCACTTAGTTATTTTGAATTCTATCTCTCTCGTTCCCACACTTTGATAACTCTCCATTTCTTTCTTAACTTTCTCTCTCTACTGTTATCTTTCTCTCAACTCTTCCATTTTTTTCCTTCTCATTTCATTTTTACACAGAAAAACAAACGAAAAATGATTATTTCGTTGAATGTATCTTCACCGTCGGCCTTATATCTTCTTCTTCGTGTGTCGTTCTAAGCCATAACAAATGACAAAAACTGAAGGTAAGTAGTTCATTAATACAAGAGATTGGTTCGATACATAAACTTTGTGTTTTGAGTTTGAGTTTTATGATTTTTAAAGTGAATCGTGTGGTTTTTGATGAAAATGAGACAAATGCATAACAAATCTGTCGAAGAATATGCAAGATGCGCATAATGGAACGGATTGACAACGAAAACAAAGGTATGTCACATTGGTTACACCGTTTAAAATTTAATTTTGGCCGCGCTGGTCATACAGGTCACATTGGTCACACTAGTCCCACTTGTCACACTGGTCACACTAGTCACACTGGTCACACCGTTCAAAATTTAGTTTTGGTCACACTAGTCACACTGGTCACACTGGTCACACTGGTCACACTGGTCACACTGGTCACACTTAATTTAATTAAAACTATAAGTAATATTTCTTTTTTTTAAAATGTGAATGGGGGCATGTGCCCCCACTTATGTGCAAGTAGATCCGCCCATGTATATATATATATTATCATGCAACGTACTGGACGAATTATTACCAAATATAATATTAGCTGACACTGAGATATGAAGAAATATAATAAGATATACAGTACACTGGCATTCCCAATATTCTAATGCAATTGATTGTCAATAGTTTCGATCGTTATCTAATGAAAATTTAGAACCCACAAAGTAATTCTACCGAAGGTTCAGTAATTTTACGAGCTGGTAAGATTCAAAAGAATTGATAATCATAATTTCAGTTTTATTAAAAATTTGGAAAATCATTTTAATAGAATAATTAACTAAATATTACAAGTTCCAATTTTTTAGATTTACAACCGAAAAAACAAAAGTTAAAAACCAACAACCCAAAAACTAAAACAAAAAAAATTCAAAATAAAATCTATAACCATTCAAAACCCATAATACCAAAATCACATTGGAAAAGGATCATGGATGCTTCTGACTATTATAACTCAAACTCTTTGGTTCCAAATAGACAAAAACATATCACCAAAAAAATGAAAGATCAAATGCAACAGTTCCATATTCAGACATTAACCTTAAACCGAAAGCAAACGATGTTTCATATCCATATTACTTTCAAGAACCAGCCATTGGCAACTCAGTACCTTCTGCCCGGCCTGCCAAACAGGTTGGTTGGCGCCATAGCCTGCGGCTCCACTTCAGACAGACCCGGAATATCAGACATTCCCAGAGAAGCAAGCATCTCTAGGGTTTCCTTATCGACCTTGATCTCGTCGGTTTTAATGGCAGACTCGTCGGGGACAAAGTCCATGCGGCGTTCACGTTCTTCCTCCTGGAGTTTCAGGGAGATTCCACGGACTGGTCCCTTCTGGATACGTTTCATCAAGTGGGTGGAAAACCCGGCAATCTTGTTGCGAAGCCTCTTGGAGGGGATGATTGCAACTTCTTCCAAGATCTTCTTGTTCGTGTGGAAGTCGAGTGTCATCTTTGAGTAATACTTCTCGATGACCTGACGAGAAGATTTCTTCACTGTCTTGGTACGGACACGGCCCATCTTTTCAACACCTGACTTACCTGCCAAGAAATCAAACAAAAGGGTATGCCGAGTCCAGCTTTCATATCTCGAGTAGAAACCTTCAAACCACCTCAAGAAACGTCAAAGTTTCAAAATTTATGATACCCATTAATCGTATGGAGCTAGAGAACAAAAGAGTCGGAAACAGAATCCAAGAAAGGGAAACACATGGCATTTGAACCAGAGACACGCCCCCATGTGATAACACACGAATGCAAGAGAGAGATACCCATTTGTCATAAACCCTAAATCAGAGAGGTAAAACGCAATCAAAGTCTGAATCCATCAATGCTCATCGCTACTCCTATCTATACCAGATTCTGAGACACCGATACATTATTGTGAATAAACTACATGAGTTTCTAATTCATGGATGATCTAATAGAGACTCAACCAATATTAGTGTATCCTAGCCTCTACATCAGTCCCTAAAAGACTGGAAATTTCCATCTAATCTCCACGAACTTAGTCCTAGAACACTAAACTGTCCTAAGAACCAAACAAACAGAACAATATCGAAATCGACGATGCTAAACGCTTCACATCCCGACATAATCCAGAGAAAAAAAACGGAAATACCAATTCAAAAAGCAAAAGTTTCAAAATTTTTGCCACGAATTCTTCCACAAGTGATGCAATTTTCTGGGTGACCAAACGCACCTGTATCGCTCGGGCCTGAAGCGGAGAAGCGGCGGCAAAACGATGAAGCTAAGAGACTGGAAAGATACAGTCTTGTTAGGGTTTGTCACAACCTCAGAGAGATTTTAGCTCGGTGTATCCTAGCCAATAACAATTCGCCACGTCGGATATCTGGTTGATGATGGGCTATAATATTCGGCCCATTATTATGGGCTTTTTTAGCCCACTGAAACTAATCTGGACTTTCCCGGACAAAACAAAAAAATGAAAAAAGAGTTTGACCACGCTAAAATAATTTTTTTTTTAAAAAAAAAGTGCTAAACTTGTAGTTTTAACTTTTAACAAAATAAATTCCAATTAAGAAAAAATTAAAATGGCTAGGAGAGAAGAATCTATCATAGTACATTTCTTTTTTTTCCCCTGAAATAATGGATTTTGATTTCAAAAAAAAAAGTTTCACCAAAACTCGCCACAAGAACAATGGCCATCACTGAAATGGTGAAACCTATTAACATCCCTAACAATGATACACCTTCTTGTAACCATTGAAGCGACCTTCATAAACTCATGGCAATCCCCACATATTCTCAGGTTCTTCATTATCCTAACAGTAGAACCCTTTGGCAAACCCATCAACCCGAACGCTAGAGCCAGCTTCTCGCTATGCCGCCTTAGAAGCTCCTCCTTCTGTCCCTCCTCCACATCGTGTAGCTCGTGCCTCGTGTCGGGCTCATAGCCGTACCTCTTCATTTCACTCAGCAATTCATCTAACTCGGCATTGATTTCTTGGATTCTTGGATGATGGCTACCCACCACGCTGAAAGTGTGAACCTTGTTCTTTATCTCTATCCAGCTCTTCCCTCGGACTTTCTTCACGTTGCTGTCTCTCAGAAGCTTCCTTGAGTGGACAATGTCTTCCCACTTCTTGTTCGCTGCATAAATGTTGGATAGTAATACGTGGTTGCCGGCGTTTTCTGGTTCTAGTTCGAAGAGTTTCTTGGCTGCAACCTCTGCCAGCTCGATGTTTTTGTAAACCCGACAAGAACCCAAAAGAGATCCCCAAATGGAGGCAGTAGGATCAAAGGGCATCGATAGGATTAGCTCATACGCTTCAGATAAATGGCCCGAACGACCAAAGATATCAACCATACAGGAATAGTGAAGCACATTCGGAGATAGATTGTATTCGGTTTTCATGAGTTGAAAAAACCTCCGACCTTTCTCGACCAAACCCGTATGTCCACAAGCTGATAACAAGGAGCTGAAAGTAAATTCATTCGGGTATATCCCATCTTGCTGCATCTTTTCAAACAAGATCATTACTTCCACAGAACGTGCATGTTTAGCAAACCCTGAGATCATAGCATTCCAGAGCACGATATTCTTCTCTTCCACTTCAGAGAAGATAATATAAGACTCTCTGATTCCTCCACATTTTGCGTACATATCGACGAGAGATGAGGCCACGAAAACATTAGAACAAAGCCCGGTCTTGCAGGTAACAGCATGGATCTGTGTCCCTTCGATTAAAGCGGCCAGATTGGCACAGGCACAGATTACAGAAGATATTGTAAACTGATTTGGCTCCAGACTCATTCTCTGAGCGCGACTAAACAGAAGCAGAGCTTCCTCATAAAACTTATTATGAACATAACCCACGACCATAGAACTCCATGTAACCAAACTCCTCTCCTGCATTGACTCGAAAACCTGCATGGCGTCTTTGATCAGCCCGGACTTTGCATAAAGATCAAGCAGAGCAGTACCAACAAACATGTTCAAATCAAGACAAGTCTTGACAGACAAACAATGCAACTGCTTGCAATCCAAGGCATCGGACTTTGCCACACAGGCACAGAGTAGGCTTGAGATCGTGAATTCATTGAACATAACTCCTTCATTACGCAACTCAAAGAACATATTCAGAGCTTTTAGTTCCTCTCCGTTACGATTATATAAAGCCATCATGGTGTTCCAAGAAACCAAGCTTCTCTGGGGCATTCCATCAAACACTTGGCGAGCAAGCCCGACAAGACCGCACCTCGAATAAACATTGATGATAACATTCGATAACATGACATCTCCCTGAAACCCGAATCTAATGATCTTCCCGTGGCAGGCTCTCGCTTCCATGGAAGCTCCATTTCTCGCACAAAGCTGCAAAATTTTGCGAAATTCAAAGGATTGAGCCACGTTACGATCAGACCAAACATCTTTGTCTCCTGACAGCGACTCATCGGGCTTGGAGATCGCCAAAGTGGAGGGATTTCTGCATATGGAACTCAAATGGTTTATGGGTATGATCCTGCATCGGCTCAAGATGTTCATGCAATTGCCCGCGACAAGACGAGGAATGAATTTTCACGAAAGAGAAACCGAACTATTTCTGAGTTGGGCCACACTACAAAACTGACTAGAAACATTTGTTCTTTATTGGGCTTCTGTCTTAATTATGTTATGGGCTTTTTAGGGTTTAGAAGAAAAGCATCTTAATTTTTCTTCTTCCTTTTTTTTTCTTTTCTATCGTGAATTTAAAATTTCGAGGATATACGTTTTGCAAATGCTTTAAACATTGACAGAAAAATTTCTAGTGACAACATTACATCTAGTTGTTATATATATATATATATATGAATAAGATTAATGTACTTATATATGTATATAATATATATATATATATATATATATATATATATATGTATGTATGAGGTTTATTTTGTAAGGTGGACCGTCATGCAACTTGCATGCAGAGACTGCTGTTTGTGATTCCAAGTCGTTTTCTTCCTCCATTTGTTTCTACCTTTTATTTCCTTTTTTTTCACTTCCTTATCTCCTTTGAATTTTTGTATTTTGTATTAAAAAAAAGGTTTTTAAATCCAAATTCCTGAAGATTGTCAACGAAAATCAAGGAATGATGTCTACATCTTCACATCAAGAAAAGGTCAGTAATGGATTTGGCCTTTGAAACAAAATGTACTCCAATAACATATATATATATATATATATAGCCCCTACACAACTTGCCCTCAGTGGTTTAGGAGGCGTTGACATCTATTTATCTACACACGATTCATATGAAATCTGCGTACAGATATCTTTAACAAATAGAACAATATATATATATTAATGTTGTAAAATAAAATAATAATGTTCAAAAACCATAAAATTAGGGGATAGTAAGATATATTACATCCAATTCTAAGATAAAATTGATTTCGTACTAATAAAATAAAAACTATGTATATTTAATGTGTATATGGAAGTTTGGTTTGGTTTAGATTATTTTTATATTAAAGTTTATATTTGATTTATATTATTGTTTCTAATTGAGAATTTTTTATGAAATTTATTATTTGATTGGCAAACAATTCAGATATTGTAAATAGATATTATTCAATTTAATTCCTACAGTCGAAATGTGTAGATATATGGGCATAGTGGTCTTTTTAAAAGTGGGTGGGATAGAAGAGGAGGCAAATGGGACACATCCTTTAGAGTTTTGGAGGTGAAACTCGACTCGTAATGAAGACATCAAATCTTCATCACCAATTAGAATCACATCTTCTTCCGAGTGAAGGCAAATCCCCAATAATAACAATAAAAACAAATTTTTAATTTATAATAATAATGATGATGATGATGATGATGATGATGATGATGATGATGTGAAGGTAATGAAATTCGGGCATTTTGATTTGAACCCTATCTCTAGGAATATTGTCTCTCGCAATGGAATATTTAGCAAAGTTACCTTTTTTTGACAAAATCCTCCTCCCACTACTTAAAACCCATTTATTTGTGGATTCGAGATTTACATCATCCACTTAAAACTAGGAGTCGGCGTTTCTAAAAACGGTTCGGGTTCGGAATGGGAATGGATCGGTTCAGTTTTTTCGGTTTTAAAAAAATAGGTACCAATCGGTGTTTATATTGTGTTCAGTTCGTTCCGGTTTCGATATCGGTTCGGTTCCGGGTTTTATTAAAAAAATATATAGATTTTCTTTAAAAATATTCGGTTTTTCAGAATTTTTTAAAGTTCGATTCGTTTCGGTTCGGTTACGGAAAAATTCGGTTCTCTAAAAATAATATTGTTCGGGAATTGAGAACGGTTTCGGATCGAAAAAAATACCGTTTTTCGGTTCGATTTGGTCCGGTTCCAAGAACTGAAGCGAAACGCCCACCCCTAGTTTTAATATTTATCATTTTATATTAGACTCTCTAAATACGTTTTCTGGAGACGGAAGTTTGCCAATTTTATAATATATATTTCTAAATTAGAATAAAAAAATATAACAATTTGAAACCATATTTTAGTTTGGAAATGGCAATTTGTATTAGCAATGGCCAATCAACAAGTATTCGTATATAGTTGGATCAAGGGTTGCTCCTGTTCAGGATTTTTATATGAAATTCATTCAATGTTTTTAGAAATTCAATTCCATCTTTGTTAGTTTTTCATTAAAAAAATTTCGATAATTTTTATAATTTAAAATAATTTAACTAATTTGATTTAAAAAATCATATCAAACTGATATATATATATATATATATATATATTTCTTAGTTTGGTTCGAGTTTGTACATCGGAAACACAATAATTAGATTATAGTTTAATTTTTATTTTTTAAAATAATCATTACATATAAAAATCATATATTATGAAACAGAAACATATAGATATTTTTTGTATTTATGGGGTTAAAAAAACAAGAATATTATTTGCATTTTTTTCAAATCTTTAACATGGAATTATATTTATACATCATGTGAGGTATTTCGATATTCAACGTGAATTATATACATAACCTTAAAAAAAAACCCAAATGTTTGTCAGATATTATAACTATATACAAGGAATATTTGCAGCACACGCACACAACTCAAAAACAGTTATATATATATATATATATATTAGGCCTATCTAAAACATATCCCATGTCTTAATATTTCAAGATTTCGGCATGTTACGCTATGACACAACAAGGATCGGCTTTTAATGTTTTAATGTTTTTTTTTTCAAAATTCATTTTCCAAATTTCTATGGCATTGATTGATATTCCACTTGACCCAAACAACTGTACAATGTGTTGCTCTTTCTGCAAGAGATTGTTACATTTGATTAATCTCTAATCTTACCCTCTAATTATATATTTATATAAAATAAAGAAACATTGTTGTCATTGTCATACTCTGTGTATTGCATTCTCAGTTTCTGTCGACTCCTTCAAGACATGGACGACATCTTTCACGCCAAGTGAACCATCTCCCTCGGCATCAGAACTAGCATGTACACTATACAACACGTACACTAGAACCGCCACCCCCGAGAAAAACCCAAACCTTACGTACGAGGGCCCGTCCAGCGAGCCGAGCAAGAAAACGTTCAGAAAGATCGAGACACAAGGCGTCCATGGCATGAAGGGCACGCCCCATAGCTCGGGTTCCCGAACCTGAGGGACCACGCAATAGAATATCTGGATGACGGCTATGGCGGCCACGGCTGTGGCCACGAGCATGAAGGCCTTGGGTTGGCCAGGGGGGACTAGTTTCCAGACGAGGGTGAAGACGAGGGAAGTGATGGAGAATAGACAGAGGAAGGACAGCGTTGGCCATGGCTTGGTGGTCCCTAACTGGACGTAACGGCTGAATATAAGGGCGTTAGCCACCATGTAGAATACGAAGAGGGTCCCAATCGAGACGAGGTTGAGGAGGACGTTAAGGTCGGTGAAGAGGGCAAGTGCTGCAGTGAAGATACCTGAGACACAAGGCAATGAGATACGGTTTTGATCAGCAATAAGTACACACAAGAGAGTGGTCCAAATCGAATTAAAACACAATAGAATGTGTGAATCAGAAGTCGTTTTCGAATCATGATCTAGGTGGAAAGATTTGATCTTCATATTTTTTTGTAGTGGAAGCAATAAAAATGGTATATGAGCAGAGTGGCATGAGGGGGCGGGGGGTTAGTGGATGCCAAAATTGGAAAGGGTATAAGGTCAGCACTTGAAAACTATGATAATGATCCACTTGCGACAAAGTTGAGAATAATTTTATCATTCTATAAGAAAAACAGATGTTTTCTATTGGAGGAATATGCATATGGACAAATGTGACTCTAGATTCTCGACTACCACTTATCCCCCCACTGGACAAAGAATACAACACATACACATTATATAATCATATAACAAAGTGAAAAATCATGTTTTGTAGCTTTAGAGGCTAAATTCAAAGCACGAATGAGTGAATATATTATCTATCAATTATCAGGTAAATGCGGTATACAGAAAGCTTACAAAAGGGAGAGATTGACCAAGAAAACGAAGGGGGGAGAATATGGAATCCCAGCACAGGAAGTCAAGGGGGGGAGGGGAGAGAGACCAAGAACCACAATGTCACGATCAAGACCGTTGAAAAGATTGAACCTTTGAACAGAAATTCAACTCGACAAAAGCAAAAAAAAAAAAACACAACAAAACTGGTGATGAGTACGACTCGGATGATGCTCCTTGTCTGAAAGAGCCAACAAACACATCACAGACAAAATAGCCATGGCCTACATTACACGACCCGTCGTTTTCAAATCCAATTGGTAGGGATAAAATGCTTTTATGGTAAGGACCAAAGATTTGATTTACACGTATGTTGTATCACGTGTCATGTATGATCTACGTTACATTTCGGAGCTAAAGAACGTTGGATTTAAAAAAACGGAAACGGTTCAATTGGGTCCCTTACCCAACTGCCTACAATATCCGTCTAAAAGACAAAACACCCCTAAAGAAGATAAAAGAGAAAGCTCACTTGATGAAAAAGGAGAATTCTCTTTTAACCTTAAAAGAACCCCAAGGAAGAAAAAAAACTATCTTTGGAGAAAATGGCAACTCAGCACCTTAACTTTTAGCTAAACTATTTAACCACGGACCAAAAAAAAATGCGAATTGGGTTTGTAAAATTCACATTTTTGTTCAAAATTCAGGGTTTTATATTAGAAGAAACACATATACTTTATTCAAATCGAATCGAGACAGCGTGTGGGATTACGGGGACAGAGTGCCAATTCATCCCAACACGTCTTCCCGTTCAAAGTTTAGGTTTTTTCACCTCAAAAGCATGCAAGTTTTTTTTTGGTATAAAAAGCATGCAAGTTCGTGTTTTTTTATTCAACAAAGGTCAAGATGCAAAATTTCTAATAACTAACACAGATTTTTAAATGGTTTAACCTACCATGAGAGACGTAAAAGACAAGACCGGAACATAAATGCAAATATTATAGCATCAATTAGTCACTGTGATCATTAATTTAGCAAATAAATAAAGAAAAGGGTACGTACCAAGAAAAGCGGAGGAGTTGACCGGAGTAGAAGTGAGGGGATGAATGTGGGAGAACCAAGAAGGGACCACACCGGAGCGACCGATGACGCACATGTACCGAGCTTGTCCCAGCATTGCCACCAACAGTGACGTAAGTATCCCGAAGCTAGCTCCGATTCCCACCACGTTCGACGCCCATTCCCAGCCGTCCGATCCCTTGAACGCCCCCGAGAACGGCGCATCCGGGTCTATCTGCGCGTACATCACACCCGCACCGCACTCGATCACTAGCCCCCACGATAAAGAATGAGAAATATAATGCACGCAAAATAATAATAATTATTTCTTTCTAGTGCCCTTGTCGAGACAGAAGCCAGCCACAACTACGTGTTGTCTTTAGTATAAAGCTCGGGATCCAATATTGGAGGGGTTCGGGGGAAGTAAAATAATTTGCCCTAGAAACCATCTTGGTTCATGAAAACTATAATTTTTTCCCCATGAAAACTAGACTTGAAACTAAGAATTTTAATTTGAGTCAATTAAATTACGAAATCTTAAATAATGAGATATTTAAACTCAATACAGAAGAGAAATGGTTACATTTTTGTTAAGGGAATAAATAAGTTTTATTTATGAATTATGAAAGTGTATTTTTTGTGAAAATGGAATTTTTTTGGCGGTTTTTTCTTCATAAAAGTCGAAAATTTTGTTTTTTTGGGGGATAGAAGAAAAGCGAGGGGAGATGGAAAGCGTACGGACCAGATCGTAGGGAAGGAGCATGGACATGGAAACGGCCATGAGGCAGTAGAGGACGGTGACGATGGCGACGGAACCGGAGACTCCGATCGGTATGTCCTTCACTGGGTCCCTCACTTCCTCCGCCATCGTCGAAACGGCGTCGTAGCCTATGTAGCTGAGATACACCATCGCCGCCCCGTTAAATACCCCAGCCGCTCCGAAGGGGAAGAAACCCGACGGGTGCTCTTCCGGTTTCCCGGGTCGGGTCAGGTTCTTCGGGTCCCCTCTCCAGAAACCCATCACGATCACGAACACTATGAACGCAATGTGCAACGCCGTCAACACCATGTTCACCTTCGAGCTCTCCCGTGTACTGCACCACACACGATCAAAACCCATTCATTATGTTTCAGCTTCTCTCACACGCATTGTTTGTAGTGTATGTGTATGTATAGGTGTGTATATGTGTATACCCGTAGCAGATGATGAAGGTGACGGCGAGGACGACAGCGACGGCGACGAGATCGATTTCGTTGAAGCCGTTTGGGAGGCCGGAGACGACGAATCTCCACTTCGAGCTGGAGACTCCGATGGCGGTGCCCAGATATGCTGTGAAGCCCCTCGAAACGGCGGCGTTTGACATCACGTAGTCCATTATCAGATTCGCTCCGGTGATGAATGCCGCGAATTCACCTGATGATGGAAAGAAACAGAGAAACAGAATCAGGATTGATTTCAGATTAAATTTTGAATTGACGGGATTGAATTTTTTTTCGAGAGTTTACAGACCGAATGTGACGCGGATGTAGCTGAAGGCGCCGCCGGCGACGGGGAGGTGGACGGCGAACTCGGTGTAGCAGAAGGCGGAGAGGAGGGCGCAGAGTCCGGCGATGGCGTATGAGACCACGATGGAAGGACCAGCGAGGAGGCGGCTCGCGTGGCCAGTGGTGACAAAAACGCCGGCGCCGACCATTCCGCCGATTCCGAGCCCGACGAGATCGTACCACCGAAGAGTCCGCCGCATCTGATCACCGGAGACGGAAGCGGCGCGGCTCATCTCGTCGAAGGAAGTGGAGACGGAGGCGGCGCGGCGGGCGAACCGCGACGGCGTCTTCGAGAGCGCGTGAAGCGGCTCGCGTGGCCAGTGGTGACAAAAACGCCGGCGCCGACCATTCCGCCGATTCCGAGCCCGACGAGATCGTACCACCGAAGAGTCCGCCGCATCTGATCACCGGAGACGGAAGCGGCGCGGCTCATCTCGTCGAAGGAAGTGGAGACGGAGGCGGCGCGGCGGGCGAACCGCGACGGCGTCTTCGAGAGCGCGTGAAGGTACGCGCGGGGGCTGGAGAAGGAGTGGTTCACCTCCATTTTTCCCGGCGATAGGCGAATTAAGGATTTGTGAATTTGAAAGGGAAGGTTTTATAATGGAGACTGGGGAGAGAGAGAGAGTAGTAGTAAAGGTATTTGTTTGGGACTGTGAAAAGGGGGAAGGTGGATATAAAGACATGGGCATTTTTGGTCTTACAACGATTACTTTATGAGATAATTTAGATTAATTTATTTACATAATTGCATTTAATAATTCATTAATGACAATTTCCATTAGCAACCCTCCTCGTGATTCTGTAGCCATATAATTTATAAATTGGTGTACAAGTACATCTTTCCTGAAATTCTAATCATACATATTAGTTAAGGGTAAGAAATCTAATAATAATAATATATGAACATCATAATACCTTAATTGGTCATGGTTTGTGTCACTTTATACCTTAATTGGTCATGTAGATCAATATAGAAACAAATATATTTTTTCATACATATCTTGTTTTCTTGTATATAAATATTCTCTTATATATCCTTTGTGTATTTTTTGCATGCATATCTATTATCTAGCATTTTCCACCTGTTAATTAAAAAAAATTCTTTAAAAAAATAATTCTTTTTTCCCACATGTATGCTCATTGATTTACCATATAAGTAGTAAAAAAAGGTATAGACTTTGTACTCTTAATCAACCTTATTAAATACTGTTTATTTTTATTATATGTATACACATATCCTAATCAAGTGCGTAAACACGGTCCAAATATTTTATCAAAAAAAAGGGAAACTATTAGTTAGAATAATTAATGCTTTAATAATTATCCTTCAGAAAATGACAGTTTGCTATATCTATATATATTGAAAACGTAACGTCTCTCTCTTGCTCATCGAGCCTTAAGGTTTGAAACCGTCACGGGCTTTAAGCCGGGAAAAAAAAAACAAACGGCGTTTGCCACGTAACAGCGTCACAGGTAACGGCCCTGTGAGTTGTGGAGGTGAATCTCGGAAGGGTTCACACGTGTGGAAACAAAGATGACACGTGTGCAGAAGTTTTAGTTTCAAAGGATAAGCAGTTAAGCACAAATTCCAGAAGCAAAGCGTGAGACCTGGTTTTAGGGAAATGGTTTTTCTTTTTTTCTTTTTGTTTTTTTGGTTGCTTTTTGGTCATGGTTTATAATGTGACTATTTGAGTTAGATGTTTTAAATTTTATTTATTTTATATTTGATTTGATATAAAAATTCATAACAAATAATTTTTTGTGTATTCAAACTAAAATATCTATTTTATAGGCTAAACCCCTATTTTTTAAATGTGGAAATGCTAGTGACAAGTGATATTAAATTAAAACAATACATATATATATATATAGGAGACTTCCATTGGCCGTATAGTACTAAATGAACTTAATATATGCTGTTTATATAATTTTTGGCCGGCAATGTATTTTTATCTCATAGTTTATGGGTATGCTACTTTATTTTGTTAGTGTCACTTTCATTTTATAAAAGGTTTGGTTCTCGACCATATTCTGATACTCATTCACAAAAATTTGCCATTTATTTTTTTAAAAAAAATTCTCCAAATTTATGTGAAAATGATAAAGAAACCTGAATTTTTAGAAATAGAAAATAAAAATAAAAATGAACTCTTAAGTCTGTCATTTAGTTTCTTTCTAGAGCATTTGAATCAGTCTCGTGGTTGACAATTCGAGTTTCCGGTTATGTAAAAATGAACATAATTTGATTCTTTTATATTTTGTTTTATTATATATTTATCTGTAATTAAAAAAAAACTTGTATTAAAAAAAAGGAGAAACAACAGCTACATCTAAAAAAGATAAAAGGTTCAGAAAGTAGGAGTGCCCATATACTTTATCTGTTATGTATACTCAATCTTTTTTCATTCAAAAAATATTTAACCATATTTTACATTCGAGTTAAAGATTTATGTTATCTTGTAATTTTAAAATCAATTAATTTGATTTTAGAAATTATATAAACCTAAACAATTTTCAAGTCAAAGTTAATTTAAATATAATTATATATTATTTGATTTAATTTTATATATTGGAATGTACAAGAAAAATATGCAATTCTAATTTAAATACCTAGTAGTCAATAAATTGACAGCTATAGGCTACAGCTACAGATACAGCTACAAGAGATAGAAGGTTCAGGAACTAGGGGATGGCCATAGACTTTATCTCATATGCAATGCCTAATCCATATATCCATCTATTCAATTCCATATCCATATTTTTTTTACCTTTTTAAAATTTTCAGATGTGCCCATGACAGTGGTTTATCCTTTTATTTTTCTTATTTTATTGAAAATAAAAATAGTAATGTTTTTATGTAGCAATCCATACTTCTTTTTTTTTATCACATTAGCAATTAATATAACCTTGAATTGAAATTGTATAGTATTTATTCTTTTTTTGTTAGTTCTTTCTATTTATAGATTAGTAGATACTACATGCATATAAATACGTAAACATTTTTTAGATTTTTTTTTGTATTAAAAACGGAACCCATTATGATTAAAAAAAAATGAAGGAGAAGATTGGCAAAAGAGGAGGGATGGTCAAGTTGAAGTTGGGTTTGGATAACAAAGAAGCTATAAAGACACACTCGATCCGACCAGACCAGACCAGACATGGCAGAGACACTCCGACCAGACATACCCATCCACTTTTTTTTTTCTTCTAAAAATGTTAAATCCGAAACGAATTTATAAATTGTGTCATTTAACATGACATTATTATTATTTACAATTTGAATTATGTATAAAAATAATCTAACAATTAGAATAAACACAACAACAATATAAAGCTAAATTGACATAAATGCTGAGAAAATCTAAAATTTTAAATAACAAGTAATCGAAACTAAATAAATAAAACACTATGGTCTTGGACAAGTTTTTGTCGTATTCATTCCGAATCTAACTTTCCTAGAGACGACCTATTTTAATTTTTTTTTTTATAATTTGGAATGCTATTATACTCACTCACGTATCAATGACATGAGAGTTTTATATATATATATATATATATATATATTATTTTCGTAGTCTATTTTTTGTTTCCATCTTGTGTTGATTGACCAAGACGATGACATTATAATTGTCTGACCACAATAACACCGTGGATATATATATATATATATCGTCAACATATGATTTTTTTTGAAATTATATAATTCATATGGAAATCACGTGACCATGGAGAGTGGGGTAATATATATCGTTGGACATTGGTATTTTAATTTTTTCCTCGAAAAGAGGGAGACCTTTGCATTTTGTATGGCCAGGCTGGTATATGAATTAATCACGTTAATTATGTGAAAAATCAAATCAAAATATCACCAATTACTAATTTAAATAAATTTGAAAAACGGTGTTACAAGTACTCAGGTGGGCTTTATGAAAAGCCCAACGTAAACGAAGTGGACCAAAACAATATTTATGAATTCTGGCCCATTATTGCTAATACATACGCAATTGAAACAAGAATACATGAATTGAGTAATTATAAGAATTAGAAATTTCCATTTTAAAAACCAAATTGAAACAATGATTATATGGTTTGCAAGGAACTAAATGAGATTTGCTAAATTTGGAAATCAAGATTATGAATTTGAACTCTTTAAGTTTCAAAGTCTAATTCAGAAACAGAGATTCATGTCTCAAGCTTGATATTTTGTTCTCTTTTGTATTTTTTTTTAATTCATTGGACATTGGATCAAACCCAGATATTTTAGGTCATAGAGAGAGCATACAGGAACGGATGAAACATGACAGAACAAGTTATGTACAGGCAATCACCAAATCTCTCGAACGGAGAGATCAAAACACAGATTTTTTTTAATAAAAAAAACACATTTTTATTTCTGGAGATTGCGTACCTTCGATCGAAACATTGCGGGTGATAAACAAACTCAGGGCTTGGATTCATCGGGCTTCTGCCGAAAACAAAGAACAAGAAGAAAAATCAATGAAGGAAAATGGTTTGGGATGAAAACTTGCAACAGACAGAAGGGTTTGTCCCCGCAAGTTCATATGTCCATAATGTTGATTACTGTGAGTAAAACACCCACACCCACCCATATATATATATATATACACGCACATATATATGTGTATATGAAAACAGAGGATATTCATGAAACTTAAAACAACATTATGAGATGGGTCTTTACCTTCTCAGCACTTCCTTTCTCGTTTTCAGGTTTTCCGGTGTTGATCTTCTTCCTCAGCTTCTCGAGCCTCTCCCTCTCCATTTTCTTCAACCAAAAAAGGTCAAGATTCCATCAATGGATTTTAACGAGAAAAGGGATACAAGTACAAACATCAACAAGATTGATTGACACAGTAACTTGTATCAAATGGGTTTAGCATGTAATGGCTAATTCTTCTAAGAACAACAACACAAATACAAAGCAACCGACCTGAAGTTTGCTAAAGAAAGTACCAAAGGGCTAAGGTTGTAACTCAATTTAGAAAGCTAAACCATTATGCAGACAGCTTTCTTTGTGAACAGATCAAAGCCATGATCCCTAAACCAGTGAGAGGAAATATGCAGACAGCAAACGAAACTTAATTAGGTCAAAGGTCAACGAAAAGATATTGCACAAAGATGAAAGAACAAGGAGCAGGAGGTTCACTGCAAAGAACCAAACATGGAATCAAAGGGATGCCTGATTTCATCGGCGGCCAAACATGGAATCAAAAGAATCAACAACAACGACCTAAGGAAACCGACGAAAATCCGGAATGATAAGCTCTCTCTCCAGCACCCTCGATGATCAAACAAATCGATACATAAGAGAAACGGGGGGAAAAATCAGAGGAAGAACAAACCTGGATGTAAATGTTCTCTTTAGCTCGTTCCTCCTCGCTGAGCACACGACCCTTGTCATCGCTGAAGCATCGAGTCGCACCTAGAGTCGAACCCAGGGAACGAGTCAGGCCTGTCCGACTCACCCCCACGGAGCGAGTCAAACGTAGCCGAGTGAGCGCAGATCTAGTCGCCATAGGTGCTGAATCAGGAGCTCGGAGACGGTTTCGGTAGACAAGTTGAGAGAATCGAGGCGTAGAAAATGAATATGGGTGGGTCTCTAAATCAGATCCGGGTCCGGGTCGGGTTTCAATTTCTGGGAAAATTCTAAATAAACCCCAACTATATAAAAAGAAATTACCAACAGACCCGATACTTGTAATTGTACAAATAAACCCTAAATGAGGGAAGAGATGGTACTTAATATGCATATGCGTATCCCATACCTTTATGCCATCTAATTAATATTCAGAAGATTTTTTCATTAAAAAGATAAGAAGAAAGTTAAAGTTAATCTCTATAAATTAGCAATTTGTTGTCATCATTTTATCAAATAAATGAAATATTGCAGCTTTTCATGAAAAAGGTCTTTGGAAATCTTTAACGGATCCATATCCTTGTCATTTCAATATTTTGTTGTATAGGTTTTTCCATAAAAAGTTAATTTTTAATTACATATCTACAACTGGCCTAATTCTAAATAAAACAATGCACAAATTATTTGGTCGGAAGAAGAAAATACCTTCAAAATCAAGCGAACGATACATACATACATACATACATACATATATATATATATATTATGTTTTAAATTTCTTAATTACGAACGTGGAACACAACACATGAATGCGTATCGACATAGGTAGCTTGCGAACGTAAAGGGGAAAAGAAAGAGGCTTTTCTCATTAAACAGGGGATCCTAAGATTTCGGATTTAATTATGAGTGATCTAATTTAGATACAAAAAAAGAAATGAAGCAAAGTATTCTTGTATCGTAATCAAAGAATATCACCAACAACTATTCATTTCGGCCATCATCATCATCCATATATACGTATATACATATATATATATATATATATATATATATATATAGTAATTGAATACAATCTGTGTTGTTCAAAACTGTTCTCTTTCCTTTTTGAAAAGCTTCTCTCTCTCTCTCTATATATATATATATACATATATACACATATCTATAAGATATGTCTGCGAATCCGAACGATGAAAGAAAAGGGAAAGTGTCATTTCCCTTGACAGAAGAGGGTTTAAGAGAGGGTTTCAGGAAGAGTCCTTTCAAATTTGCCAACACAAAGATTCCTCAAGGAGGCCTCGGCGACACTGCCGAGAAGCTTTCACCCATCCATGAAGAAGCCTTGTTCAATTCCCCACTCCCTCATGCAGATGCCTCTCGCCTCAAAGGTCATATATGTGTATATGTGTATATATATATGTGTGTGTATTCATTCTTATTATACCCTCTCAATATATACGTATACATACACACCAACACATAGGTTTCGTGTGTTATATAATTGGGTCGATCGTGTCTTAGGCATTGAATATGGTTTGTATGTGATATTCCGACAATGGGTTTGTCTGAAAATGTTTTCTTCTTGTGTTGTTTCAGGAAAGGTTACGAATCTGTACTATGAGTACATACCTCTGAGCCAAGCAATCAGCAAAGGCAATCTTGAAGGAGTGAAAAGCTTCCTGAACCAAAGACCCGATTCTGTGGATCAATGGATAAACTTCTACGAGACTCCGTTGCTGAAAGCTTGTGCTTGTGGACAAGCGGAGATCGTGAAAGAGCTTCTGAGGAGGATGACCCCCGAGCAGATGCTTCCCAATCTGAGCCGCGGTGTTTCATACCACACGGCTCTCACCGTTGTCGCGGTCAGCGGAAACTTGGAGATTGCGAATGCATTGGTCACTAAAAACCCTAAATTGCTCGAGATTCCGGGGATCAACGGGATGATTCCGGTTGTCGTAGCTGTCGAGAATACGCAGAAGGAGATGGCTCGGTATCTGTACACAAGAACTCCGATTCAAGTGTTGCTTGATGAAGATGGGTATCATGGTTCCTTGCTCTTTCTCAACTCCATCTTCTATAAAATGCTCGGTAAGCTACCGAATCTGTTTCTTGGGTCACAAGCAATATGTTTTAGGCGATAACATATATAAGGGTTTTGTGATTATAGATATAGCGTTGGACCTGTTCGGCATAAACAGGCGTTTAGCCGTAACAAAACATCCACTGATCGAGTCCATTCCGATCATTGTTTTGGCTTCGAAGCCTGAGCTGTTCCCGGGAGGTTGCTGTCTCGGATGGTGGGAACGCTTCATCTACTCTTGTACGCACTTATTCTATGGATTTTTTTTCCTATAAATCGAGCAATTCATTACTGTTTTATCGATGCTGTGTAATGTTTTCATTACTTTGTTGTTAGATGTAAACCCTAAGGTGCCAATGCTTCCACAAGCATCTCGTTCAGACAAAGATCAAGGTGAGTTCTTCTTCTCGTTCTTCAGAATGAGCAATTTCTCTGAGTGTTTTCCTTCGTTTTCTCAGGTACCCTTGTCGGAAAGCTGCTCAGATATCTCTGCAAATGGTCTGGTATGTATACATTGCCTTCGGGTTTTTTCGGTATTATTATAAAGATTTTAAGACATTAATCTCTTTGATGTTTTTGTAACATTTTTTTAGGGATAGATGATGTGTGCCATCTGAAGGTTATGCATCTACAAGCGAAGCAGCTTTTACTCGGAATAGCAGAAGAAACCCTAGCAATGGGCCTTAAGGAGCGTTCAGAGACAGTGGAGGAAGCGTTACTCTACGCAGTGAGATACGGGAATGTAGATTTCCTCGTCCAGATGATCAGTACCAACTCTGAACTTCTCTGGTCGACAAGAACAAGCTCGAGCAGCACTTTGTTTCTGTTGGCTGTTGAGCACAGACAGGAGAAAGTCTTCAGCTTGCTTTATGGTCTTGACGACAGGAAGTACTTATTGCTCGCCGACAAGGACAACGACGGAAACGGCGTCCTCCATCTCGCCGGTTATCCTTCTCCTCCTTCGAAACTCGCCGGAGTTGTGGGTGCGGCCCTGAAGATGCAACGAGAGTTGCAATGGTTCAAGGTTTTGTTCATTCGATCTTTACGTTTACGTGTACGACAAGAATAGTCATTTGCTTGACGATTTTGTTCTGTCTGAATCCGAATTGCAGGAAGTGGAAAGGGTAGCTCCGGAGATAGAGAGAGAGAGGGTGAATACAGAGGAGCAAATTCCGATCGAGATATTCACCAAGGAACACGAAACCCTAAGACAAGAAGCGGAGAAATGGATGAAAGACACAGCCATGTCATGCAGCCTGGTGGCGGCACTCATCGTCACCGTCACCTTCGCCGCAATCTTCACCGTTCCCGGCGACTTTGATGACAAAACCCACCAACCGAACCGCATAAACGACATGCATTTCGTGACTTTCATCGTCACAGACATGATCTCATGCTTCTCTGCGTGTACATCCGTGTTGATCTTCCTCGGAATCCTGACAGCGAGATACTCGCTGGATGACTTCCTCGTGTCATTACCGACGAAGATGATCGCGGGTCTGTCGATCTTGTTCGTGTCGATAGCGGCGATGCTGATCGCGTTCTCGTCGGCGCTTTTCACGACGCTGAATCAGTCGTCATGGATAGTTGCTCCGGTGATTCTGGTCGCTTGTCTGCCGGCTCTGTTGTTTGTCCTTCTGCAGTATCCCAGCTTGAAGGAGATGATTGAATCAACGTACGGTAAAGGAATCTTCGACAGGAACATGAAGTGTTGGTCTTGATGAGTTTGTATGTTGTCATTGATCTCATAATATTTGAACTTGTGGCTTTGCCGATCAAAGAACAAAGATCTCGACTTTATATTTGAAAAAAATCTGCGAGACAGTGTTCAAAGCTAACGTGCGCTTGTCACGTGTATGGCACGAGACCCTTTGAGGCAGCTACACCTGCCTTCTTTCGAACTGTCTATGCACCGTCGATGACATGCATCGGACGGTCGAAAACATGCGCGTGAGAACCGAGACCGTATTCCGTATTCCAAGTCTTGAAATGCTCCATGCAAATTTCCTCTCATTCGTAATAATGAAAAAAATGTTTTTAATTTTAAAATATATAAACAGTTTCTAGTAAAATCAAAATTTTAATAATCAAATTAAACCAAAAACATTACCCCATCACATAAGTCAAATTGACTAAAACTTTTATAATATAAACGAGAAATCAAACATCTCAGAATCAAAGTATCCACTTAAACCAGTGTTAGAATAATGAAATGTGAATTTATAATGGATCATGAACGGACCATACGTGGCGAGACAGGGAGAGAGAGATGGGTCCGGGAGAGGGGAGGAAGGAAACCCTAGTAGAAGCGGCGATTCGGATCCTCAACACACCCGACCCGTTCGAGAAAGCCCGTCTCGGCGATTCCGTCGCCACCCAATGGCTCCACGGTCTTATCCTCGATCCCTACGACCCCTCCGCCGACCTCCCCGTCCCCGACCGCCCTGCTCGACTCGCCGACGTACTCTCCCTCCCTCTCTCTCTCTGAGTTTCTGTAGCTGTTCTATTATAAGATGTCTGAAACGAAATTTTGCATCTTTTGTTGAAAATGGATAGGTGAAATTGGTGTCTCCGAGTTTGATGCCGAAGCTGGGGAAAGCGGGAAGCTTACAGAGCAGGCAAGCCATTGTGCATAGTCTTGTTCATACGGAAAGCTGGGCTATAGATTTATCATGGGTACTTAACTTTTTTCCTTGTCTTTTCCTCCGGTTGATGGCCCGATCTTATAAAACAATCTCACTTAGGCGTCATGTGTATGAATTATCGATCAAGTTCTACTTGTGATGTTTAATAGAGTAAAGTCGGTTCCTTTTGCCATAATTTTGTGTTTTTCTAGCCAGACGTTTTAGCAGAATGGTTTGTGGTTATGAATTTGGGTAGCTCGTAATGTGAATGATGCTGTTTCAATGCATTCCTTTTTCGGCTGGCAAAAGGCTGTGTCTTGATCGTTATGTTGTGTGTAGGATATAATTGCTCGTTTCGGGAAGCAAGAGGAGATGCCTAGAGATTTCTTTACGGACTTTGTTAAGGTGGCTCAGGACGAAGGGCGTCACTTCACCTTGCTTGCAGCTCGGCTGGAGGAACTAAACTCTCGTTATGGTGCATTCCCAGCCCACGATGGTCTTTGGGATTCTGCAACCGCTACGTCTAAGGATCTATTGGCACGTTTGGCAATTGAGCATTGCGTTCACGAGGTGAGAAACTTTCTCAGTTCCCTTACGACTGCCTGTTGTAGAAACAGGAATGAATGGATATTCCTTCTCTGTTTTTCTATAGTAATACAAAGCTCACAAGCATTTCGACATGCTATTAAGAACATCCCATCAGGGTAACTGATGGGAGTTCCATTGGCTCTACTAACATTAAGAGCATGAAGTATATATGCATTGACTTGATCACTTTGGTTATCTCCTTGTGAGAACCAAGCTTTTAGATGATGGGTTCTCCCTTTGATGATGATCAATGTGTGGCATCCAATCGCTTTATGGTTAAAGAACACAACGAACTATGAAAAGGATTTCAGTGTATTGCCATTGCCAATGGTGTTCATTTGGCAGGCTAGGGGACTCGATGTTTTGCCTACGACGATATCCCGGTTCAAGAACGGAGGGGACAACGAGACAGCTGATTTACTGGAGAGAGTGGTTTATCCAGAAGAGATCACTCACTGTGCCGCCGGAGTGAAATGGTTTAAGTATCTCTGCACGCGGTCAAAGAGCTTGGGTTCGGCCTCCAATGGAGGAGGTGCGGACGAGGAGATAGTGCAGAAGTTTCATTCGGTGGTGAGGAAGCATTTCAGGGGTCCATTGAAACCGCCTTTCAACGCGGAAGCGAGAGAAGCTGCAGGGTTTGGCCCTCAATGGTATGAGCCTCTCGCTTTCAAACTGTAACAAATGCCTGAACCTTAATATCAATCTTTGCACAGTTGATATTATATGATATAATGATCAAATTCGGTTGTGCTTTCAGTGAATTTGAAACTTTTGATTCCATCCAAAACCAACCAATCTAAATTTTGAGCGTTTGATTTCCTTGTAATCCAGTTAATGTTCACAAGCAAAAACATGGCGGTATTATTAATGACGTCATCCAAACACGTACCCTGCCACGTCAGATATGTTCGGACACAAAAGAACAACAAATTTTTCCAATGGAAAAAAAGACTTGAGTCCATATCAGACAAAAAATAATCTTAATGAGTACTTTTCCGTTTTCCATATTTGTGGATATTTCCATGAAATAAAAAGAGAATTTGGGGGTACAATCGCAAATACGAAACAAAACTTTTTCATGCCGATTTTTTACGTGAAAACCTCTGAAGAGAAACGGGAAGTTGGGTTTCGGCATCTTGGCTAATTCTCCTCTTCTTGGCATCGGACGACTCGTCGAACCCTCCTTGCTCCACGAACGTCCTCTTCGCCTTCTCGACCAATTCCTTCTTCTTCCTCGTCATCTTGCTCGGTTTATTCCTCCCTTTCGTCTTATTCTTCATCTCGACGCCTCATGCAGATGCCTCTCGCCTCAAAGGTCATATATGTGTATATGTGTATATATATATGTGTGTGTATTCATTCTTATTATACCCTCTCAATATATACGTATACATACACACCAACACATAGGTTTCGTGTGTTATATAATTGGGTCGATCGTGTCTTAGGCATTGAATATGGTTTGTATGTGATATTCCGACAATGGGTTTGTCTGAAAATGTTTTCTTCTTGTGTTGTTTCAGGAAAGGTTACGAATCTTCTCCTTTCTCCTCGCGGGTCTTACCGTACCGATCTTTGAAGGATCGAGCATTATGGTCTCGGGTGGAAGTTTATCAAGAAGAGAATGCACTTCCTTCTCCCGTCTCTGTTTCGTCGTTTCGAACGGGTTGGCTACCCACGAGTCAAAGTTCGGTTCACCCGAACCCGGGATTAGAATGCTCGACCAACCCATCGAGTGTCCTATCCCGAGAACATCCTCGTACGGTCGGAACATGAGTTTCCCGATCTGATATCCTTTCGCCATTGAATGGTTCATGTACCTGCTGTAATTCTGCGACCCGTCCGAGTCTTTCAGGACTTGTAGGAACGATCCTGTCCCGGCAGCGAGCAGACCCTTCTGGCTGAAGTTCAGTGTCTTGGCATGGAATCCACTAATAGTTTGGACAACCTCAAATTTCCGCAGGTCCCAGATTTTGATTTTCCGTTCTTTACCTGACGTGGCCATGAGATGTCCGTTAGGATGGAACGCCAGAGCGGAGACAGGCCCACGGTGACAGAGCATCTTGACGAGCGGTACTTGGCTTGTCGGCTTCCACATTGTGACGGTTCCACCAGAATGACCCAAAGCCACGACTCCGTTGTACGGATTTACTTCCATCACATCGGTACGACCCATACTGGTCCGGAAATTAGCCACCATCTCACCATGGGTTATATCCTGATAATGTAGCTGCCCGAATTTGTTTATTGATGTAAGCAAGAAATGGTTCTTTAGAAACCGAAGCCTCATCACAGCGCCGTGTTCCTGGAATACAGGCCGTATACAGAGCACCGTCTTTCAGAATAAGACCGAAAATCGATTGAGAAGGAGAATATATACAGACAGGACAGGACATTTATAACAGAGGAATATATATAACAAACTGACCTTTAGACAATGCAGCTCAATACCATCTCTTCCGTAAATATAAGGATACCTGTAAAAAGTTAAACAAATTAGTCATGTCTATGCTCGATACTTTGCTTCAAATGCAAAACTCCAACAATCTAAACTTTACATAAATGCTGGCAGTGGTCAGGAAAAGACAAATTCGCAAAACTGAACCAGATATTAGAGCATCAACAGCTCCATAAACCAAAACTTCTGATGCAACTATTATTGAAATATTGACTTACGATAACGAATACAAATTGTTTATAAAAGGAATACCGCATACTTTTTCTGGGCAGCTGCAAAGAATTGCTCGTTGTGCAGGAAAGCAACATCACGTACTGTTTCTCTAACCTGCACATATCAGCATATGCTGAGAAATGAAACAAATTTCCTACATATCAACCCACCCTGCTTGAGATTTTTTTTACCTGAATCTCTTTAACCAAGTTAAGGTTCATCGTGTCTAATAGAGCGAGATGGCCCTTGCGCCCAGCAGCTAGCATATACCGACCGCTTCCAGAGAAGTCAAGAGTGTAAGGTCCAAGATCTGAAAGTTCCAGGTGGATAATCATGGCAGGGACATGAATTAGGAACAAATGACAGGGGATGCAGCACAGTAATCCAATTAAATTACATATACAAGACGTATATACAGTTCAGGAAAAGTCATGATCTATTTACCCGGAAGAACTATATCATATTGGTTTCTTGAGCTTGATATATCTACTTCTTTGGCAATTTCTGTCTGCTGGATCCGCCATGTTTTTTCTAGCCCTTCAGTTTCCAAGTAACCTGCCTCAGCTGGCAAGAGCCACTGTACAAAAGTACCAAAACACAGAACTATCAATCTAGAATCTTATTCAAGTAAAAGGATAAAAGAGAAAAAAGGAAAGCAATAACAAGAAACAAAGTAGTAACGAGCTAAGGGGTTTAACAGATGTCCACAACCATTCTTTTTCCTTATCAAGAAAGATCACCACTACAATTTACAGTATCTTATAATTTTTAAGAGGCATGAAAAACAGGCTCAACATACGGAGAGAGAGAACTGATGGAGCAACACAAGCAGATTTTAGCACTCATGTGATATCTAATGAAATGAAGTAATGAACCAATTCCACAAAATGCAAAATGGAAGGATGATTGACCTTCTCGGCTTTTGCAGCAGCACTCGCAGTTTTTTTATACAAGTCTTCCCGCAGAGCAAGTTTAGTTTTTAGTTTCTTATCTTGCAACACCTGAAAGAGGAAAAACATTGTCATTCAAAAACACGGGAAACACCCAACTAATGCACTCACAACCAAGAATCAGAATCATCGAATCCGTACCTCAAGATTAGCACCTTCTCCTCTAAGGTACTTCTGAGCTTTAGTCTCCAACTCATCGTTGATTTCCTGCATTCCATGATTGTAGAAATAGTTAGAGTAGACTGATTTAATAGATTTCATGTTGGTAATGAATAGAAATATGATGTCCATATACTCGTTTGACAAAAGGTCAAAAACTCGAATCAGTGGGGACATATACCTGCTCTACTGGAGGCAAGATCTGTTCTGTCGGATTATTATCCGATTTCAACCCCATATTGAATCTTCAATATCCTGTTCTTGTATAGTAACCCAAATACGTCAGAATAAAGCTGAGGATCGATTGTTCTCGATTCGGGAAGAAAAACTGGAACTGAGAAACTTTACTTCAAAGAGAGATGACTTGGGAAAGCGAGGAATAGTTAACGTCGTACAGCACAATGACTACCTATTTCCAAACCAACATAACGAAAACCTCTAGAAATTCATCCTACGAACGATGCCTCTCGTCAACGACACAAAATAACGACAGAGACAGATGGACACACACTGCTTGCAAGAGAGACAGAGAGACAAGCATACACCGGTACCTGGATCAGAAAATCTGCGTATGTGACTCCGTCTTCGAGTCAGTGAGCCCGACGAGCCGCAACGCAGAGTCAGTTCTCGTCTTCTTCCTCACGCCGGCGAAGTAATATGGGGATCTAGGGTTTACAAAATTTCGAGTTCAAGCTGATTCTGTTCGTGCAGAGTAAAAACCCGTGTTGAGAACTAGGGTTTAGTGGGCGTGGGGATCACGTGCTGTGTGCGTGAGACATATCAAAATAATTTATTTTTTCTATTTTTGTAATTAATTTAAGATCAGTCCTTATGGTCCAGCCCGTGAGCAGTACTGGCCAGTAGTAGGGTTGGGCCGTGAGCCCGTTAACTATACAAATTTAAAATCTATTTTTATAAAGACATGAAACCACTTCCCATGTTCCTTTGTTCAAATCATGATGATGCCAGATTGGCTGTTGGTGTTGGTCGCAAATAAATTTTATTTATTTATGTTATTATTTTGAATTTTCATTTTGGGTTTGTTATATAATTTGTTAATATGGTAGTTTAGAATTTATATTAAAATACTTACATTTGATAATAAACAATTATATTAAATAGACAATATGGCTTTATTATTTAAACAATAAAAATATTTTTTTTAAAAAAACTAGAATAACCGGTTCAATGGGTAGATAGGCGCAGGAGACCACAGGCATCTTCAGTTCACAAAAGTTCGGCGACAGAGACGAAGAGGAACACGTTGTTGTGGTAGGAGAAGGAGAAGCAGGAGTGGCGGCGGCTCGAGGGGCTTCGTACTGTACGAACCCAGGTACTATCATCTTCTCAATCTCAGATTTCGCCGAACGATTCCTCTCTCTCTCTCTCTCTCTCTCTGGTAGCGTCGCTGTTCGACAATGTCGATTGGTGATTCGGTTCGTCTCTGTGTTTTCTCAGCGGGAAATGGAGTCGACCGAGTCGTACGCGGCGGATTTTCCGGAGGAGCTGACGAAGAGATCTCAGGAGGAGCAGAATCCGTCGGAAGCAGGTATCTCTGATCCGATATGTTCTTCGTGTTTCCGTCAGTAGAAACAGGCATGGTGGGGGAGGAGATTGCATCTTCGTGAATTGGATTCCGTGAAATTTTCAATGAATCGAGATCGCAGATGGGTAATTGTTTCTGTTCGAGAAAAATGCGCGAGAAATCTGTAGGATTATACAGAGAACAGTATCAAATATCACAAAAATTGATTCAGATAGAGGTTTTTTTTTGCAGAAGTGGTTTAATTACTCTTTATCTAACGTTTTCTGATGGATTAGGATCTTGACCATCTGTCTATTTGTCTCCTTTAATGCAGCACTTCATGACTTGTCGGAACATAAAGCTAGCTATTGCTGAATCTTTTTTAAGATTATTTTTCACTTCAAAGTTCTGATTCTGTTGTCTTGCACAGTGTTAGTGATCATATTTCTCAAGAATGATTGACTAACATAGTTCTCCTTTTCAGAGTCTGCTGAGAAGCAGACGCACATTCGCTTTCTTGTATCCAATGCGGCAGCTGGTTCTGTAATAGGGAAAGGTGGCTCGACGATCACTGATTTCCATGCGAAGTCGGGGGCTCGAATCCAGCTCTCACGCAACCAAGAATTCTTCCCAGGAACTACTGATAGAATCATTATGATATCTGGAACAATTAACGAAGTTGTCATCGCTTTGGAACTTATTCTCGATAAATTGAATAGTGAGGTAATCTTTCTGAGTCGGAGTTTCATACATGTAATTGGTGTTATTATGATCTTAGTTATGATTTTCTTTCTGGGTTTAGCTTCATTCTGAAGACGGTAGTGATGCTGAGCCTAGGAGGAGAATAAGGCTTGTGGTTCCAAACAGTTCATGTGGAAGCATAATTGGAAAGGGAGGGGCTACCATCAAGTAAGTTTTCCTTATATTTTCATCACAGATAAGGACTCGTCTCTTGAAAATATACTGGAAAAAAAGGGAGGGATATTCATGATGCTGTCAAAACTCTTATTTGTATTATAGAATTGTGAGTCAGAGCTTCGCTAATATGTTTTGCCTTGCAATTATTTCCTATAATATGACATTGAATCTCCAATTAATATCCAGAATTGATGTTATCATATTTGATATACAGTGTTGTCATTGATATCCTTTTTTTTTCTGATGTTCATTCCATGCAAGAGAGAAAGTATTCTCTCAGTGCTAGTTCAGCTTCAAAACATGGGCATTTGTCACTGATATTCTACCTTCTGTGTGCTCCCTGGGATGTTGTCTATTGTAGCATTGTAGTGGCCATCTCTTAAGCCATTTCTTTGTCTTGATGATGTAGGTCCTTTATCGAAGACTCCAAAGCTGGTATTAAGATATCACCTCTGGATAATACCTACTATGGGTTGAGCGACAGGGTTGTGACATTAAATGGAACTCTAGAGGAGCAGATGCGAGCCATTGATTTGATTTTGGCTAAGCTTACTGAAGATGCACATTACTCTCAGAATGTGCATTCCCCATATTCATATGCAGGTATATCTACTTAGCTAGTTTATTAGTGGAGTCCGTGTCTCTCCTTGCAGCTCCTGATGCTGTCATGTTCTGTATTTATTGGTAGTCTGTTTTGGTGCAAAGCTGTTCATTCGAATTCGACATCATTCAGGCATGTTGAGAAAGCGATACAGGAAACAGTTATACTACTCTAAGGCATTGCATATTTATGGGCTGAATGTGCACATGAAATACTGGAAAACAAAAGACAAGGCTCTAGGTTTTTACAGTTTAATCACAACCCGCGATTTTGTCTCTCTCATTTTCCGGTTAAAGATAAATGGAAGTAGGTAAGCTGGCAATGAGAACACAAGGTAAATCGTGAAAGAGAACAGCATGTTGCAGAATTTATCGAGCTTGTTTGATGTTAAAATTGATCCTTTGTAAGGTCCCATTAACTTGAAAATTTTTAGGTCTTTTTCTAATCTGGTTTTCATGGTCATCCACATGTTTACGTCCTTCCTTCGGTTGCAACAGCAGGATACAACTCGATGAATTATGCGCCCAACGGTTCTGGAGGCAAATCACAAAATTACAAGGTTTCTCCCTTCTCACACAATCTCTCTTGTCTCCTGGATGTTATTTATAGTGCTGCTTTTGCAAAGATTGGCTTTATTATTGCTAAGAACGTTAGGAGGGGATGCTCATGCAACATCTAGGACAAGCTCTTATCAAGGAGAGATCGGATGTTTTGAGATAGTCCTAAAGGAAACGATTAGTATTATTGGTTGGAAATGTTATTCCCGTTATTCCGGGGATCTCCATTTCGTGCCATCATAGTGTCTCTTTCGAATACATCAGTTAAATCTCCAGCAGAAACTACCTGTATGGATTTAATGATCTTTCGAGGACATGGTTGGAGCTTAATGAACCGAACCTTAGAACCCTCGATCTCCCCGAGCATATTTGTTTGCCTTTTGATATATTTCCTCATTTTTTTTGGTTATTGGTTTTAAAACTCTAGCCGAGCGCCATCTTTGTCGGTTCCTCCCCCCCCCCCCCCCCCC